GTCAATCACCCGGTTGCCAAGGTGATGAGCTGTCGCTCTCCCATCACAGGGAGGAGTAGAAGAAGATGTACGCGGCGGCTGAGCGAACGTTGGCGGCCGAGATCTCGGAAACCTCGTGATCGTCGAACTTGAACCAGCGCTGCTTGTGCGGGTTCTTGCAGTACGCCGTGTAATGGCCGCCGTCCATCCCGCCGTAGTGATTCTGCGGAGGAGAACATGCGTTACGGCGTCTGGAACATGTTCACGTGTGTGTGTGTGTGTGTGTGTCGTGAGGTGGGTACTCACAGATACGCCGTACAGGTTGTACTTCTTCAGGTTGTGTTTGGGCCCGATGACGTACTGCGACAGGTCCAGATTATCCAGCGGGAAGTCCACCAGCGTCTGCAGCTTCTCACGCCACCGGCCGTCGTACTTAAACCTGTTAGAAACACAAGAACACGGTTCACACGTCTGATTTTTGACTGAATTTTAGTTTAGTAATTTTAGAATGATACGAAACTTGGTAAAGGTTTTGGCACTTGCGAACACCCTAAATCATGGACATGATCTGAACTGGTTAAATGGCCCTGATAACAACAGACGCATTGGAAATGAATGAGAGTTTCCTCTAGTGGAAGCGTTTGGAACTGCAGCCGAACACGCACTCACTGAGCGCTCGTTTACTGAGATCGGCTCACACGCGGAACACACTGGTGTTTGAGATTTATGGCTTTGATTTTCTCGCAGTTTTATAGAAAAAAATTTTATTTTGAAAATATATATTTCATATAGAAATTTTAAATAGTATTTTTACACATTTTTCATAACAATAAATGTAAAATTCTGTAACTTTAAGTTAACTTTTTAAAACCGTGTTCACTTGAGCAATAATCTGCCGAGTGTCGTGTTTGAGAAGAGATCAAACTTCAGTCTGTCGCTCTAAAGCGTTCAAGATTTACCAGTTTAAGATGGAAATGTCATTTGAAATGTGAATGAATGGATTTTAAATACAGCGTAAATATAATTTAGTACCATAAAATCCCCTGAAATACAAAATATTACCAAAGTAAAATATAGTACATTAATAACATTGAAAGCATGTTTGGGCCATGTTAGCCCAGCCGGTGAACCACAGCCCTGAGCCGAGGCGCTCGCCGTCACGCACCGCTTCAGGTGCACCAGCAGGATGGGCGGCAGCTTCCAGATCTGCATCTTCTTGATGGCGTCTCGGTGTGTCTTACAGTGGCGGCAGTAGAAGCGGTTGCTGTCGGTCAGACGCTCCTCTTTATGGAACAGCTTCAGACAGTCCTGGACACACACACACACACGAGACGGCAGGGTGAGCTCAGATGGACACCAGACGCAGGACAAACACTGTATTATAACGAACTCACGACTACACCGAACAAAATTATAAACGCAACACTTTTGTTTTGCCCCCATTTTTCATGAGCCGAACTCCAAGATATAAGACTTTTTCTAAAAGGCCTATTGTCCTCAAATCGGTCTATAAATCTGTGTTAGTGAGCACTTCTCCTGTGCCAAGATCATGCATCCCCTCACAGGTGTGGCGTATCGAGATATGGCGGGTCACTGCACAGGTGTGCCTTAGGCTGCCCACAGTAAACGGCCTCTCTAAATGTGCAGTTTTGATTGTGGCCTGTGGGATGTTTAGGGCCCTATAAAATCCGTTTTATTTTTTTCCCAAATTCCGTTTTATTTTTTCCTAAATTCCGTTTTTTCGGTTTTAATTTTTGGGAATTCAGTTTTTTTACCCTTTACTGTTATTTTAGTTGTAAAAAGAGCTTTTAATGTTGCTTTTAATGTTAATGATTAAAATGTACACAAATAAAACAGGCATTTACTCTGCGTCGTAATGTGCATACTATCCATCCCAAATGGTATGTGACATTACTGTCAATACTATTTCGGGCATAGTATGCACATTGGGACGCAGCTTCTGTCGAGCACTCTCTCGGACACACTCGGTCTCTCTCGCGCGCGCACTGTTGAGCGTGCTGTCTCGTAGTCTCTCGCACGCTCTCGACTCGGACACACACACTCGGTCCGGCACCTCATAGACAGACGTGCACGGAGAGGACTTTATGTGTGCGACGAGTTTCTTAAAGGATTAGTTCACTTTTAAAAAAACTTTTGCTGATAATTTACTCGCCCCCGTGTCATCCAAGATGTCCATGTCTTTCTTTCTTCATTCGAAAAGAAATGAAGGTTTTTGATGAAAACATTCCAGGATTTTTCTCCATATAATGGACTTCAATGGGAACCGGATGGTTCAGGTCCAAAAGACAGCTAATAACAGTTTTAGATGCAGCTTCAAATGTCTTTAAACGACACCAGACGATGAATAAGGGTCTTATCATGCGAATTGATCGGTTATTTCAAAACTTATTCCAAAAATGTAACTTTTCTAAGGAAAAATGCTAGCCTTGCTCTATTCTGTGAGGCGCGTTTGTAACGTCACTTAATACGTAATTACATTCAAAAGGTCACGGGCGACGTAGCCGGAAGTACAGAATCAAAATCGTCCGACATCGTTGTTTTTCCTTTTAATTCCTTTTTTTGTAAACGGTGTTTGAGTTAGTTTGCACGTTCAAACCTATGCGTTCAACTTGTAAACACTGACTCTGTACTTTCGGCTACGTCGCCCGTGACCTTTTGAACGTAATTACGTAATACGTGACGTTGCAAACGCGCCTCACAGAATAGAGCAAGGCTAGCATTTGTCCTTAGAAAAGTTACATTTTTGGAATAAGTTTTGTAATAAGCGATCGTTTCGCATGATAAGACCCTTATTCATCGTCTGGTGTCGTTTAAAGCCCTTTGAACAGTTTGCACTGAAACTGTTATTAACTGTCTTTTGGACCTTGAACCATCCGGTTCCCATTGAAGTCCATTATATGGACAAAAATCCTGGAATGTTTTCATCAAAAACCTAAATTTCTTTTCGACTGAGGAAAGAAAGACATGGACATCTTGGATGACACGGGGGTGAGTAAATTATCAGCAAAAGTTTTTTCAAAAGTGAACTAATCCTTTAACTTTTTCGCCGACGAAAGCAGAGCCGCGGAGAGCCGCTTCGCCGTGCTTTCAGTGGAAACGCGGCTATTGTTTTGATGCCGTCATGAGCTGAAATGTTGCCCAGATTTGCTTCCCCGTCTCTCTGCATTTTCCCCAGACATACGTTCTTCTCCCACGCAAAAAAACGAATTTCATTCCAAATATGTAAAATTCCATGAAATGCCACGTTAACACTAGATTCCGCGTTAATTGGCCAATTCCGTGATCGCGGAAATTATAGGGCCCTAGATGTTGGTCCACTCCTCTTCAATGGCTGTGTGGAGTTGCTGGATGTTGGCAGGACCTGGAACACCAGCGTATTCGACTGTGTGTGTGTGTGAGAGACCTGCAGAGAGCACTTGCTGCTGGCCGTCATCTCCAGCGTGAGGTACATGAAGGTCTCGAAGGTGCGGGACTTGTGCTGGCAGCTCATGCACTGGACCGTGGACTTGAACTGGCCCTGGAACAGAGCCACGATGATGGACTCGTTCAGGAGCTTGTGTTTGGACCAGGCCAGATCCGCAGCGCTCACGTCATCCAGGTGATCGATGTCCTCCTCCTTATAACCCCTGCGCTTATCCGCCTGACAGAGAGAGAGGGGGGCTTTAGGGTCAGTCTGTTCAATATGAAACTCATGGCGTTCCCATTACACCTTATTTGTGTGTGTACGAGTGTGTGTGTGTGTTGCTGGTGTTCCCACACACCTTGTTGAGGTCCTCGTGCAGTCCGTCCATGAGGAACAGCAGCAGCTCCTGCGAGTCCTGATGCTCGAAGCTGGAGAAGCGGCTGTTGATCTTACAGATGGTCCCTTTAAAGTCCTGTGGGCTGATGACCTTATACTGACCCGACCACAGCGCCTTCATTAGCACGCTGAACTCCTCCGCCACCTCGCCCTTGTGGCCCAGGATGTTAGCCCTGCACACACACACACACACAGAGTCAGGCTCCTCTGGATTCACACTGACTGATGATGTAATGCAGATTAGAGTGATGTCATACTTGTTGATGTCGTCCTGATAGTAGTTCTTGTTGAAATACTCCGCCATGGCAACGGTGTTACACAGACACTGGAGGATGGAGTTCATGTAGCAGGTGTTGCCAAGGTTACGGAGGCCCGTCAGTAACGGCCCCTGACCCCCGAACACCGGGTTCAGGTTCCGGATCTTAGCAGCCGACGGGCGGGAGATCTCCACCGTCTTATAGGAGGCCGCCAGAGGCCTGACACACACACACACACACACTCAGCATTGGTTTACATTTTACATGCAATTTTAAAAATAAGGTTGCTGTGTGTGCGTATGTGTGCATGAGAGTGTGTATGTCTGTGAGTGTGTATTAGTCATGCTACAATAGTTGGGTGTTGATGGTGTTCAGAAGTAACAGTGTTGATTACATGTTATTACAAATACAATATAGTTCAGTTAGAGAACAGACAGCACAATCAAACACTGAACGTGTCTCTAATACAGCGCTGTGTGTGTGTGTGTGTGTGTGTGTGCCCGTACTTGTTCTCTCTGTTGATGGTGGGCACGGCCGCTGGTCTCCTGGTGTCGTTGAGCTCCTGGCTGATGTCTGGAGACGAGTACGAGCGCTTCAGTTTAGACTGGTCTCTCTCTCTCTCCCTCTCTCTCTGCTTCTCTCGCTCCGTCTCCCTCTCTCTCTCGGGCTCCGGCTGGGCTCCGGCTGAGCTGGGCTGGATCGGCACCTGAGGCGTGTTGACCTCGGGGGGGTACAGGTGCACGCGGTTGGTGGGCGAGTGGTAATACCTGTAGGTGCCCGTCACCGTGTCCAGAAACTGCAGAGCAGAGCATCCGCGTTACACACACACACACACACGTGCACACACACCTGCTGCTGTTTCCTCTTACCTTCATCCAGCCGTCCGGCAGCCCAGGTACGGTTCGGCCCATCTCCTCACTGTGTGCTCTCATCAGAGACTCCCTCTGAAACACACACACACACACACACACACACGTTACCTCCTGCTGAAGTGTTGTGATCTCAGTGATGTGTATTAGTGTTTATCAGAGTTTATCAGTGTGTGCTCAGCATGTTTCCTCAATATATGCAAACATGTTGTGGTATTTTTATGCTTTAGAGAGTAAATACAGAACCTTTACGCTTCTGCTGACGTGTGTGTGTGTGTGTGTGTGTGTGTGTGTGTGTGTTGTGTGTAAACAAGACCGGCGTTTTTATTGTGACGTTATGTGGATGAAAATTGGTCCACATGAGAAATGCATACTTGACGTTTTTTGAAAATGTAAAATATTTGTGAGATGGGTAGAGTTAGTGTGTGTGAGATGGGTAGGGTTAGTGTGTGTGTGTGTGTGTGTGTCACTCACAGCACTCGAGGGCACGTGTGAGTCCAGAGACATGCTCTTCATGGCCGGGTCGAGTGTGACGTCCTTCTGTGTCCTCCTGCTCTTCTCCTTCTCGTCTCGACCCGCCTCTCCCAGATCCTGCTCTTCTTCTGCTTTCTGTCTCCCCAGCCTCTTCCTCTTCTCCTCCTCCTCCTCCTGTTCCTTCTGCTCCCGCTGGTGTCTCTCGGCCGCCTCTCTCTCTCTCCTGCGCTGCTCCTGCTCTCTCCGGGCCGTCTCCATCAGGCTGAGGGTCTCGGCCTGGATCTCCCGCCGCTCCTCTGCGCTGAGGGCTCGGGACGGGTCGCTCGGGGGTCCGGTGGGCTTGGTGGAGCGGTCCGGCAGAACCAGGCCGTTGGGCACCGCAGGGCTGTCGTTAGCCGGAGGCTCGTCGCTGACCTTCACACTCGCCGGCAGCTTCACCGAAGGTTTCTTCGTCCGGTCGACCTGAGGAACAAATACACAAATACAAGCGGAGATGAACACTAAATTACAAAGTCTAACAGTATTCAGGTTCAGAAATGAATAATTAAGACCAAATGTAAAATAACACTATTTGCTTTTTAAATAGTGTGTTAAACTTTGTTAAAGCTGTTGTTTGTTGTTTCATGAAGAGTAATAGCACAGGAAACCTCTCGGAAGCAGGAATATGAGGCTACTGTCACTTTAAGACCGAATATACTGACACACATCGGTTTCTTTCTCAACGGTTCACTCATGACAGAACCTGGTGTGAGTGTGTGAATCACGGGCTGCGTTCACACACACACAACATTTCACTCGGATCGATTAGGGCGTTTACATGAAGGATTGCTAACGGATTATTTGTTTGCATGCACACGTACCCTGTGTGTGTGTGTGAGACTCACCTGTGGAGTGTGTCTGGGCGAGGCGGCGGTGGCGTCAGTGGCGGTCGGCTGAGCGAGGGGTGTGTGTGTGTGTGGTGTGTGTGTGTTAGCGAGCGGTTCTGCGGGCGGGTCCAGGGTCACAGTGGAGCCGTTGATCTGCGCGGGCTCCGGCTCTTCACACACGATCACAGGCTTGGGCTCCTCCAGCGACGGGTACGTGAAGTTCACTGACATCACAGAAAACACAATCAGGCTTTGAAATGAATTTGGCTACTAAATTAAGTTACTGACCATTCAGAATTCAGTATGAGTGTGTGTGAGTGTGTGAGACTCACGCTGGGGCAGTGTGCTGAACTCCTGCTGTCGGGGCGGCTTTACTTTAGCGTTGCTGGTGTACATTGGGTAAAACAGCAGCCAGTTCTCGTACCCGCCCTCCAGGACCAGCGGCTCACTGCGCAGGATCATACTGCTGTCCCACTGCACACACACACATCAGACACACACAAACACGTCAGAGACACACTTTACACACGTCAGGCATAAGCCACACACACGTTATGAACACACACGCGCACCTAACCCAACCCTAACGCCTCACACACAGTTCAGCTGCAGTGCTACAGTACCTTATAGAGAGCATCCTTCAGACTCTGTAAAGTGGTTCCCAGTCTGAGATCCGAGACGCCGCTGAACCAGTCCAGCAGGACCAGGTAATCCACGAACCCCCTGCGCTTCCAGTCCAGCAGAGAGGCTGCTGGGAGCTTCAGCTCGATCTGATTCACCGTCACCCTGCAGAGTACCAGCACATCGGAGGATTAAAGTGTGTGAGCACTGAGCAGGAAGATGACACAAATGTAAGTACTCGCTCGGACTTACAATCACCATGAAATCAAAGAGACCGCTCTTGTGTTTTAATGGGATATTTTCAGTATTGTAAATGATTTATGGGTATAATGTGTTAATAATGTCGAATCAGAATCAGTTCCTCTCGCAGCATCTCTTCTCTGATGGCGAGGGCGGGGCTATAACCTGTCACTCACATGAGATCAGCCAATAGCAAACCACAACCAGCTCCCCAAAGACACAATCAAGCCCCGCCCACATGTGTTCTTGCGTTGCACTCGGATAAACAACACAATAGAGGAGAAAATAATAATATCATTTTGTTCAATCATGTTAAATGACCCAACAATTAGCAGCCATTTATTTACCCTATTATTTTTTTAAAGTGCACTGTAACAGATGTCTTCTTCGGTATCGTGACGCAGTGAAACAGATTAAAGAAAACAAAAAATGTAGAGCGGGACTGGTTCTGTTCCTCAGTGCTGCATCCTTGATTGGATGTTGAGAAGAAAGGGGCGGGGTTTAACAAGACCTTAACAGGTTAGGATATATTTTATTCATGCTGACTTTATGGAACATGTATAATGCTATTATTTCAGGTGGCCAAACGTGTGTGTGTGTGATGGGCCGGTTTAGGGTAAGCGGAGAGAATATATACTTTAATACTTAAAAAACACTACGTCTATGGTGAGTCCCCTCGTGTGTGTGTGTGTGTGTGCAGGAGACTCACCCCGGGCTCACGGCCTCCTCCGGTACGCTGATACACGTCTGTGACGGGACACACATCTGCGACTCCAGGAAGTCCTGACTGGGTCGAGTGTCCATCACCAACACACTGATACTGGGATCCTTCATCAGCCGGAACAATCCCTCAGCGCTGATGCTTCCTGCCGGGAGAGAGACAACCCTCACACACACGACACACGACAGAGGAGCACGAGAATCCAGCGGTACGTGTGTGTGTGTTTGTGTGTCAAGTCACCTTTAATTTTAGTATAACGCTTTTTACAACAGTGTTGACAGCAGCTTTACCGAGATAACACTCTGTAATACGAGATAAACTTATTAATTTAGTTCATTTATATATATAGCGGCTCTGGAGTAACCCGTGATGTCATCGTCCAGCTCAGTTCAGCCTCATATAATGCTGTCGATGAGGAGATCAATAATACTGATGGATATTACATTAATGTGCCTGACTGAGAAAGTGTGTGTGTGTGTGTGTGTGTTAGGGATGGGACGATAACCGGTTTCACTATAAACCGTGATAAAATGTACTGACGGTTAGTATTATCGTTTAAAATTTAATTATCATTAAAACCGTGTTTGATTATCGCGATTTTAATAACTCACTGAATCCTGTCGGCCAGTCTGACGCAGGCGCGCAGCACGCAATATTTTTTTAAATTACTATTCGAGAAGGAATGGTGGAAGGCAGTGACCGTGCTCAGGAGGTTTTTCAGCCTTTTAAGAGGACCAAATCTGAGGTGTGGTCATATTTTGGGTTTTACAAAAGTCCTGAGGGAAGCTTGATCGAGGATGGTCACCCTGTCTGCCGAACAAAAAGTCACTACAATAGAAACACTTCAAATCTGCCGAGTCGTCTTGTGTGATCATCACCCGAACGCAAGGCAAGTTAACTTTGACCTTAATACCAAAACTACGTCTGGGAAACAATTGGGCACGAAATGTTGTTTTGAGTTGAAACATTTTATGTCACTCACTTGAAATAGACGTCAAGCTTCCGCGAAGAAAAGTTCGTAGCAAGTGGATTTGAGCCAAAGACGAACGAACAACTTCAAACAAGACTATTATTAAGAGTGATATTTTAAGGGATAGTAAAGTATAGATACATCACGTATTAAACCGATTTTATTTTTACCAAATAATTACAGGGACATATTGAATTGATAATGAGATTAGCTAATGTTTTAAATCTTACCTATTTATGAATTCATTTTGTAAAACAATCGTCCAGACAAGATATATCACACCAATATTATCAAACTCTGTAAACAATAAATCAACTCTGATTTCATTTTTGCAATACAATCAAAAACCGGAGACGCAAGACGGCAAGTTGTATTTGAATGAAACAAGAGCGCGCGTCCGTTGTGATATGGATGTGCGCTGTGTAATAATGCGTTGCTATTGACGACGGGCATTATAAAGAAGCAAATGCCATAGAATAGAATCTTGCCTAAAAAACTGCATAGAGAGGCTTGTTTTATTTGTTTTTTTGTTGATTTTCAATTATAAAACTTGTTGAAATGTTTTCAGTGTGAGCATCAGTTCTTTTTGAGCACTTTCATAAATTTTTAACAAAACCGTGATAATATTGATAATCACGATTATTTTGGACACTATAATCGTGATATGAAATTTTCATACCGTCCCATCCCTAGTGTGTGTGTGTGACTGTGTGTGTGTTGCACGGTACCTTTATCACATCCAGTCTTGCTGCTGTTGGGCTCCACTTTAACCTGCCGTAAAACACACAAAGGAAAAATGAATTATTAACGCGTCACTTCAAAACATTGATGATGTCTGTAAACTTTGAGCTGTTGATCTCCAGAGCAGAGACTGAGACTGAGGAAATATGATAAGAGCTATTATATCGCTGAGGCTTATTCATTCTCACTCCTGCTCGACACACACACACTCCTGCTCTACACACACACACTCCTGCTCGACACACACACACTCCTGCACCTTGTTGTCCTTCTTCTCTGAAGCTCTCGGTGAAGAACGTCCGTCTTTCTCAGTTCTTTCTTCTCGTCTCTTTTCCTCCTGTCGGTCTTTCTCCTCCAGCTGTTTACGCACTTCCATTTCCTCATACCTGAGAGAGACAGCAGAAGAACACAGCGCTAGTGACACACACACACACACACTCAGAGTGTGTGAGTCAGGGAGTCTGTGAGTGTGTGTGAGAAACACTGACCGGAGCTTCAAACTCTCAGATAGTTTCTCTGCCTCCTCAATGGCCTTCTTAAAGCTGCTCGGTCCGAGCATGGAGAGGAAGAACTCCTGAAACCAATCAAACAAGAGCAGTGACCGTCAAACACTTCCTCAGCTCCGTTAAAGCTCCCACAATGCACTGTGGCTGTACCTGCTGCTGCTTGAAGTCGGGCCTCTTCTTGATGAGGTCATAGACCGTCAGATACTTCATGTAGAGGACGTACGCTTTCTCCTCGTCTCGATCCAGACGACTCTCCTCCGCGGCCTTGAAGATCTTACAGGCGCTCTGAACATAGCTGGAACACACACACACACACACACACACACACACAGAGAAGAGCTCGAGCGGATCCTTCTAAAAGTTTCTCACTGAACGACTCGAGACAGAATAGATTTACAATCTCACACTAGATTGGCCCGGCCCGTATGTGGATTCGACACGGCCCGGCCCGGTCCACACTGTCCGGGTTTATGATGATCTTACCGTGTGACTTCATATCACGGCTTGATCTCTGCGCTTCACACTCACTTTCTGGTGCTGGTCTTCTCCGGTTTGACCTCCGCTTTCTTGTTGAGTTCCCTCAGAGACGAGGACAGGTACAGATCCTTCACTCCACTGGACACAGACGGCATCTCAGCTCATATTCCTGAAGACACATCCATGTCCATAACATTATCATAACATCATCATAATCATATCATGTTATCCACTACTTCATTAGAACCCTGACTGGGCGATCAGGAACTCGATCCACCAACTGACTATTTAGATATATTATTATTAATAAATGAATAATCATGTCAAAATAATCAGAGTGAAAAAAAATCAGAGACATTATAGTTATTAGACCAATAACCTGATAATTTGACCAACAAAACAATAATCTGACCCCTGACAAAACTATCAGATGGATATGATAATGAGTGTACAGAAGCAGTTCTGATGATCATATTCATAACACTACAGTAAATCAATAATCGGGTGTTTATCTGTCGACTCACCCCACACACACACACACACAGCTGGACGAACACCTCCGGACAGATCCTGGAATCCGCATAAACCGCAGACCCGCTCGGGAAACTGACGTTTATCCACAATAATGACAGTAAACACTGAGACTGCTCGATCAAACGCGGAAGTCGAAGGATTTAAAGTCCGGAAGCTTTATTTAAACACACACTGCGGACAAACATACGTTTAGATGTCAACACACACACACACACACGATGTCTGTATCACCTTTGTGTGTTGTCCTGCTCATTAGACACTGGTTTCTATCAGCATCACTGACACTATCATATGTTGTTCGTGAACTGTAGTGTTATTAATATCAGTGTCTTAAGCGGAGATTATTATTGTTCTGTTGCGCACTTCAGTCAGCTGACTGACTCACAGCACTGCGCGTGCGCGCTGCCTTCATTCTGCTTTTACAGCAGTTTTGTTTTTTAAAGAAATAAATCACGATAAAAATATACAATACACTTATACATATGTATACAATTAATAAGCCTCTCTGCAGCAGAGTGTGGATGACGTGTTCATATTTTATTTCGCGTATTCTGTATGTTCGGTCATCGATCGCGCTCGTGCCCGGCGCTCGTGCCCGCTGCGGTATTATTGTCATCTGGGTTTGTTTTCAGGGATCGGGTTCTGTTCGGTTCTGCGGGTTCTGATCTCTCACGGTAAGATGCACAGAATTCTGCGCGATAGGTTCCGCCGGATGTGGAAGTTGATCAGTTTGAGCGCATTAATGTTTCCTCTTCCTCCGGAACAACAGCGAGTTCCTGTTTATTCCGTTTAACGGGCCGCGCGCGACGCTTCATATTCACCGATGATGATGATGATGATGTTTTAGGCTCGAGATGAAGCTCTTCTTCACATCTGGTGTTGATATAAAGCCGCTTCTGATGAAGAACAGATTCATGTGTATAGATTCACACACTTATTCTATCATCTGAAGAATAGATGATCGATTATTCAATACATCTTTTTAGTGTTGTGAAATGACGCGTTTTCCATTATTGGACTCAGTAACTAGTTGGATTACAGTAGTTGTGTAGCCATTTAACTGGTGGAGTTATTATTACAGAACTGGTCAAACTGGTGCTGTAAGTATGACACAACTGATATGAAAACTCCTCAAACACGTTTAGGAACTGGAAGCAGTGTAATATCAGAGACTGTTCCCTCGGTCACTCACTGCAAAGGATCTGCAGAGTTTCAGTGTTAATGTGCATAACACCTTTAACTGGACATTAGAGACACGATGACACGCTTTACTCAAAAGTAAGAAGTAAATTAAACAAAGAATCATAAACACAAGTGTACCAGCTAAAATACTTTAATGGAAGTAAGGAAGAATCCACATTTCTCAGACTCGTCATGAATGTGAAAGCAGAAAAAGTACTTTTTATATAATTTTACTTTAGAAAACAAGACAGTGGAGATTCCCTTATTTTAGTCAAATCAAACCAAATATAATTGTATATATGAAGAGTTCAGATGCAAAAGCCTCTAAATGCCATTTGAAATTTTCTTCTTTAATGATGATTTTGATCAAACTTGTATATTTATGTTCAGTAATTTCACTTAAATAACAATTAATAAGTAATTATCATTGCAATTTAAGTGAAATCACTGAACTTAAATATACAAGCTTGATAAAAATGATCATTCTAGAAGAAAATTTCAAATGGCACTTAGAGGCTTTAGCATCTGAACTCTTCATTTATAAAGCATGAGAAATTATAGTGTTTCCAAACATTGCATGATAAACACACGTGATGTTCCTTCCTCTGTGTGTGAGAGAGAGAGAAAGAGAGTGTGTTTGTTTGTGTGTGTGTGTGTGTGTGTGTGTCTGATGTTATGTGTTGTGACGCTGCAGATGTCTCTGGTGGATTTGGGAAAGAAGCTCCTGGAAGCGGCTCGCTCCGGTCAGGATGACGAGGTCCGGATCCTGATGGCCAACGGAGCTCCGTTCACCACAGACTGGGTGAGTGTGTGTGTGTGTGTGTGTGTGAGAGAGAGAGAGTGAGTCTCTGACTCCAGTATCTCCTGCTTCACTGTGGATCTGTTGGTTAAGTGTGTGTGTGTGGATGTGTGTGTGTGTGTCAGCAGCTGGGCACGTCTCCTCTACACCTGTCGGCTCAGTTCGGTCATTACTCCACCACTGAGGTCCTTCTGCGCGCCGGAGTGAGTCGAGACGCCCGGACGAAAGTGGACCGGACGCCGCTGCACATGGCGGCCGCTGAGGGTCACGCGCGCATCGTGGAGCTGCTGCTCAAGGTGAACACACACCCGCGCTAGAAGACACACTTCTACACAATATACTGGATTAAATTAACCCAACGTGTTCTGGCCGTTCATTCGCATTCATTCGGCCTGCAGTTCCTCCCCTGGCCACTAGAGGCGCTGCAGAGAGACTCACTCCCATAGACCCGCATGTTAAAATGGCCAACTTTACAGCAGAATAAACATCACGGCCTGGTGCTAAAAGTGGTTTTGGTCTATATTTCTAACATTGCTCTTCATGACGACTGTGAGGGGGTGAATATTTTTTTTATATAAATCATCCATTTAAATTATATTAAGGCCTAAAGTTCTGCATAATTAAGGGCGTGGCCACTTGAGTGACAGGTGGATTGCCGCTGATGTCACTGCGAGCCGTTTGTTAGCGTCACATCACCTCAGCTAATCCGTCTCGCTGCACATGTTCGTTTATCCGGGAGTGACGCAGCCAAGATGGCGACGGCCGGCTCCGCCCACTTTGGGCTTCAGAAACGCTCTTCAGAAACACTACTTGGATTGAATATATATATATGTGCGCACGCAGGCACGTATTCCTTCTTTACAAACTGAGCTCACCAAATGACTCGTCTGGCCTGCACTACAGAATGCTTTTCTGTGGTTTCCGCGCACCCATGCGAGCTGGAATCACTCTGATGAGGTTTTATCCGTACTGAGGTAAAGGGAATGTTCTTTGATGTTCGCCGGTAATTTTCCGCTTTAAGTGTCTCCTTTCATCATCCGGCGGAGCAACAATGCCTGTACTCATGTGTGTGTGTGTGTGTGCAGCACGGTGCGGATGTGAACGCGAGGGACATGCTGAAGATGAGCGCGCTGCACTGGGCCGTGGAGCACCGACACACACACGCCGTGGAGCTGCTGCTGCGCTTCGGGGCCGATGTTCACGCGCAGAGCAAGTTCTGCAAGAACCCACTGGACATCGCGCTGGACAACAGCTGCCTGGAGCTGGCCGAAGTCCTGCAGGTACAACACCGGTCCTGGTCCCGCCCGGCCCGCCTCCACTGTCCCACAAACACACACGAGAATCACTTACACAAAACACAACTTCAGTAGAGGTGACATACTACACCCATATTATATGTGTGTTTGTGTGTGTGAAATCTCAGGTCAAAATACCCGATCATGTATTATAGCTTGTCGTGTGAGCAAAAACACTCTGTTTTTGTGTGTCCCTTTAAATGCAAATGAGCTTTAGCGATCTGATTGGCTTATTGTTTTCACTTCTGGTGTGAAAGGGCCTTAACACATGCCAATATTGAACTTTTTGTTGTTGTTGTTATTAAAAATCCAACATAAGCTCAGCTCAGGTGAGAAAAAGTAACGCAAAAGTAATGTGACATTTCATAAAAAGGAACTAAGTAACCCAATAAGTTACTTTTTTGAGGAGTAACGCAACATTGTAACGCATTCCTTTTAAAAGTGTCTGTCCGCAGCGCTGGTGATGTGTGTGTCGGTGTGTGTCAGGTGGCGATGCAGAACCAGATCAACACAAACCCCGAGAGTCCCGAGACTCTGACCATACACACGTCCACTCCGCAGTTCATCATCGGGCCGGGAGGGGTCGTGAACCTCAGCGGGATCGTCTCGCCGGGACACAGCAGCAAACACACAGGTGACGCCGCCGGACCCTGAGCGCCATGAAAGAGGCCTTTGTGCACACACACACACACACACACACACACTTGATGTGACGCATGACATGATTGTGCGTTTGCCCTCCGCACAAGAAAATTGCTGTTATTTGCACAAACAGAGGATCATCAAAGCCTGCGATTAGAGCGAGAGATGAGCTGATGCTCCTGATGCTGCAGTTCACAATCTCTCTCTCTCTCAGATGAGCTCATCACTGCGGACACAGTGGACGGGGCCATTCAGCAGGTCGTGAGCTCTGGAGGTCAGCAGGTCATCACCATAGTAACAGACGGCATTCAGCTGGGCAACCTGCAGACGGGCACGGGCATCAGCCAGCCCATAATAGTCACCATGCCAGATGGGCAGCAGGGTGAGTGTCACGGAAGCGCTCGATATCATTTTGATTCTTAAATCCGGATCTTTTAGATGCCGATAAACGACTAAAACTCCACTAAACGATATCCGTGCCATCCCATAATCGCAATACGCTACAACACTTTTAATATGAAAGAAAGGGTTAGCTTTCGATTTCTGTCAGTTTCATGATGAAGTTCAGTCAGTAAACGTCTGTTTGCGTCTCTTTAATGTTGAAGCGATCAGCTCTTTAATACTAGCAGCGAATGAACATGATGAACATCAGAAGGAATGTTGGAAGATTCAGAACAACTTCCTGAAATCAGTCATGTCTCATGTAGTCCATCCATGAGTGTGTCAACGAGTGTGAGTGAGTGTGATTGTCAGTGTGTAAGTGTTACTGTGAGTGTGTGTGTGAGTGTGTGTCACGTCACATTTATTTCTATAGCGCTTTTAACGATACAGATCGTTTCAAAGCAGCTTTACAGAGATAACAGGAAAATAATGCAACAAAGTTTGTTTCTGGAAGATCTGATCCGGACCCGGCTGTGTGTGTGTTACTCGCTGGTCTCACTCAGTGTGTGTGTGTTCCTGCAGTGCTGACGGTGTCGGACACAGAGGTCGCAGAGGAAACGGTGATCAGCGACGAACCTTCGTTCAAACGGCAGCGAGTGAAAGAAGAAGACGAGGATCAGACGATAGAAACACAGGACATTCGGATCCAGCAGACGCTTTCGCTCCAGGACTTCCAGGTGCCACACACACACACACACACACACGGCCCACAATCGCTCTCACACCAGCATCTGACACATAACATGTACTTGTTTTATCCAGTGATGAACATGTAAACAGTGTGTGTGTGTGTGTGTGTGTGTGTGTGTGTGTGTGTGTGACAGGAGAAAGCGTCTCTTCTGAAGCAGCTGGAGGAGGCGAACCGCGAGGCGCAGAAATACCGACAGCAGTTCCTGAAGAAGGAGCAGGAGGCCGAAGCGTACCGGCTGAAGCTGGAGGCCATCACACGGCAGAGCGGGAAGAAACACGCCTAACACACACACACACACTAGACACACTGTGCTTTCTGTGAGCGCATCAGTGTGTTCATTAGGGGACGAGCTTTGAGGTCGAGCTTTGTGTCGTGTCCGTTAGTGTTCGCATCGGTCCTCTTCCTCTTCTGCTCTTGACCCCGTCGAACTGCTTACAGGAAATGATGTCATTTGACATACAGATGGAGGACAGTGTCGTCATTAACTCCCTCTAGCTCCCCCATTCATGTTCATTCTATTCTATTATGCGTTTTCCACCATTTCGAATTTTATAGAAATAAAAGGATTAGGTTTAGGGTTCATGTCATCACAAGCATGAACTGAGGACACTAGCGCCATCTACGGCTCAGGAGATATTTTTGCTCTTAATTTCTGAACGGTATGCCCAAAAATCATAAAGTCTCTTTTAGGTCAGTGCAACACACCGAGTCAATTATTGCATGTCAACTAGTTTATTTTTGAATTTTGTCGTAAAATACTGTAAGTTAGCGTATCGTTGCTGAACCCGGTGTGTGTGTGTCATGGCCTGAGGGGACTCAAAAAGTTTTGAAAGATTATCTACAAACCATTCCAGCAAACACATATTACAAGTTCAATGAAATTGATAGCATGATGCCAAAATTATTGAGTGTGTTATTGTCCTCACACTGACCCACATCAGTTTGGTCACAGCGCCACCTATTGGTCAAAAGTCATAACGATTAAATCACATTGATTGTATTTGTGATTTTTTTCCAGCTAAAATAAAAAATCTCTAATGCCTCATAGTTGCCGTTGTCTGATTATCATCGTGCCTCTTTCTGATTGACCCCTTGAATTCAGTCTGAGTTTCAGTGTGTGGTGCTCCTGTGGGCGTCGTGGGTTTGAGTCTGACGCACATCCTCTATCGGTCTCTGAATAACGAGGAAAAACACCCTCAAAACGTTTAAAGTGCGTAATAATGTGACGATGTTTTATGCTCTGGATTGAGTTTCGCGTCTGATCACTTCTTTCATCATCAGTTTCCTCATTGATCATCAACATTAATCATACGCTCTTGTGTTCCACAGGCCTGTGTTTGCAGTATTTCTGTCAGAAAGATTATTACTTTTAAAAGACAAACTGGATGGATTTTGTTTCTTTGAGGAGGATCTCAAAGTGACTTTTGCTGTGTAAAAATGCTGAATAAATGCACAATAAAATGTTTTACAGTATTCCCGCATCTGTGAGTCAGTAGAGGGAATATTGTTGTTGGGATTGTAGATATGGATTGATGTTTCCTCAGTGCTCATAAAGTCAGACCCGTGTTTGACGGACACTCATGCACTGCCTGAATCAATGGTGTCTTTGTGCAGAGTGTGTGTGTCGGTTTGCGTCAGCGGGCAGTGGATATAAGAGTGTGTGAGAGCTGGAGCGGCTCACACACACACAAACACACACAGTGGATCTTCCTCTGACCGACGGGATGCAGGAGCAGGAATACATGCAGAGAGGTAATGATCCTCTAATAATTACACAAGAATGGCTTTATATTAGTTTTGCAGGACACAGCTCACAGGTTTAGCTTTAATAACTCTTGATCCATAGATGAGGGACTGCTGGTTATTCCCTGAACATTTGACATTGAGGACTTTTTATCACTTTAAATTGTTTGCATGCTATAGTTATCTTCTGAAGTATTGTAAGGTAATGTTCTTGCATTACATTTATTCTATATTGATGTTCTGCTGTAATATGTGTGTCGGTACTCTTCAGCTATTGTTTTATTACTTTTCTCTATTGTTGTTCAGTCTTGTATTGGCCGTGACCTCAGGCTCACAGTGCCCAGCAAGCAATTCTGCGTTCAAAAGACGTCTAATAGTCGTTTAATAGCTAAGCCGTCGCTACGGATTGACCATGACATGAAATTACACTTACATCTTGTAGATATTATTGGCATTGGTAACATGATGGATATCAACCATCTCATGCGCTGCCTAGCCAAAAACTACAATGAATCAGTTTTGACTATAAGTGGGCTACAAAGGGCATAACGATTAAATAAATAATGCTGGAATATCATTTATCTCGCAAGTTATTTTGGCAATTTGACAATTTTTTTTGAAGTATGTTACTTATAGCCAGAGTATATCGGGTTTATAGTTAACAGAGACGGTGAAATGACGGCTATTGCTTGCTGGGTGTGTTTGTTTTAATGTGTTGATGTTCCTCCATTGTGTGTGTGTGTGTAGGGAAGGAGATGGTGGACTTCATACAGCAGTATCTCACACGGATCCGTGAGCGGCGGGTGGTTCCGGATGTTCAGCCGGGGTTCATGCGTCCTCTTCTGCCCAGCAGCGCCCCGTACGAGCCTGAGGACTGGAGCCGCATCATGCAGGACGTGGAGAACATCATCATGCCCGGGGTCTGCCTGTGTGTTTTGTTTGTGTGCATGTGTCTGTCCATCTATCTACACTATATTGCCAAATGTATTGGTATACCCTTCCAAATCATTGAATTAGCTGTTCCAATCACTTCCATAGCCACAATCTAAAGAGTGTGATGCAGTGGTGTAAAGCGTGGGATGCAGTGTTGTAAAGTGTGGGATGCAGTGGTGTAAAGTGTGGGATGCAGTGGTGTTAAGCGTGGGATGCAGTGTTGTAAAGTGTGGGATGCAGTGGTGTAAAGCGTGGGATGCAGTGGTGTAAAGTGTGGGATGCAGTGGTGTAAAGTGTGGGATGCAGTGGTGTTAAGCGTGGGATGCAGTGGTGTAAAGTGTGGGATGCAGTGGTGTGTAAAGTGTGGGATGCAGTGGTGTAAAGTGTGGGATGCAGTGGTGTTAAGCGTGGGATGCAGTGGTGTAAAGCGTGGGATGCAGTGGTGTTAAGCGTGGGATGCAGTGTTGTAAAGTGTGGGATGCAGTGGTGTAAAGCGTGGGATGCAGTGGTGTGTAAAGCGTGGGATGCAGTGTGTAAAGTGTGGGATGCAGTGGTGTAAAGTGTGGATGCAGTGGTGTAAAAGCGTGGGATGCAGTGGTGTTAAGCGTGGGATGCAGTGGTGTAAAGTGTGGGATGCAGTGGTGTTAAGCGTGGGATGCAGTGTTGTAAAGTGTGGGATGCAGTGTTGTTAAGCGTGGGATGCAGTGTTGTAAAGTGTGGGATGCAGTGGTGTAAAGCGTGGGATGCAGTGTGTTAAAGCGTGGGTGCAGTGTTGTAAAGCGTGGGATGCAGTGGTGTAAAGCGTGGGATGCAGTGGTGTAAAGTGTGGGATGCAGTGTTGTAAAGTGTGGGATGCAGTGTTGTAAAGTGTGGGATGCAGTGTTGTAAAGTGTGGGATGCAGTGTTGTAAAGTGTGGGATAGAGTGGTGTAAAGTGTGGGATGCAGTGGTGTTAAAGTGTGGGATAGAGTGGTGTAAAAGTGTGGGATGCAGTGGTGTAAAGTGTGGGATGCAGTGGTGTTAAGCGTGGGATGCAGTGTTGTAAAGTGTGGGATGCAGTGTTGTAAAGTGTGGGATGCAGTGGTGTTAAGCGTGGGATGCAGTGTTGTAAAGTGTGGGATGCAGTGGTGTAAAGTGTGGGAATGCAGTGGTGTTAAGCGTGGGATGCAGTGGTGTAAAGCGTGGGATGCAGTGTTGTAAAGTGTGGGATAGAGTGGTGTAAAGTGTGGGATAGAGTGGTGTAAAGTGTGGGATGCAGTGGTGTAAAGTGTGTGGTGCAGTGGTGTAAAAGTGTGGGATGCAGTGTTGTAAAGTGTGGGATAGAGTGTGTAAAGTGTGGGAATGCAGTGGTGTAAAGTGTGGGATAGAGTGGTGGTAAAGCGTGGATGCAGTGTTGTAAAAGTGTGGGATGCAGTGGTGTAAAGTGTGGGATGCAGTGGTGTAAAGCGTGGATGCAGTGTTGTAAAGTGTGGGATGCAGTGGTGTAAAGTGTGGGATGCAGTGGTGGTAAAGTGTGGGGTGCAGTGGTGTTAAGCGTGGGATGCAGTGGTGTAAAGTGTGGGATGCAGTGTTGTAAAGTGTGGGATGCAGTGGTGTAAGCCTGGGATGCAGTGGTGTAAAGTGTGGGATGCAGTGGTGTAAAGAGTGGGGTGCAGTGGCGTAAAGTGTGTGATGCAGTGGTGTAAGGTGCAGTGGTGTTAAGCATGGGATGCAGTGGTGTAAAGTGTGGGATGCAGTGGTGTAAAGAGTGGGATGCAGTGGTGTTAAGCGTGGGATGCAGTGGTATAAGGTGCAGTGGTGTTAAGCATGGGATGCAGTGGTGTAAAGTGTGGGATGCAGTGGTGTAAAGTGTGGGATGCAGTGGTGTTAAGCGTGGGATGCAGTGTTGTAAGTGTGGGGATGCAGTGGTGTAAAGTGTGGGATGCAGTGGTGTAAAGTGTGGGATGCAGTGGTGTAAAGTGTGGGATGCAGTGGTGTAAAGTGTGGGATGCAGTGGTGTAAAGCGTGGGATGCAGTGGTGTAAGAAACACGCTTCTTTGACTGCCGATTCGATGGATGAGTCTGGGTTTGGCCGTTGCCAGGAGAACGGTACTTTACATTGTGGAGTTTGGGGATGTTCCTATTCCAGTGCACAAAGCAGGTCCATAAAGACATGGATGAGGAGTTTGGTGTGGAGGAATTGGACTGGCTGCACAGAGTCCTGACCTCGACCCGATAGAACAGCTTTGGGATGAGTAACAGCGGAGACTGAGAGCTTCTTGTCCAACATCAGTGCCGGACCTCTCTAATGCACTTCTAGAAGAATGATCAAACATTCCCATAAACACACTCTTAAACGTTGTGGAATGATTATCTATCATCTGTCTGTCTGCCTGTGTGTTATTGATTGCATGTATGATGTGATGCTGCTGTATGTGCTGTAGGTGGTGCACTGGCAGAGTCCTCACATGCATGCGTATTTCCCTGCGCTCACATCATGGCCGTCGCTGCTGGGAGACATGCTGGCAGACGCCATCAACTGCCTCGGCTTCACCTGGGTAATGCACTCACTCACTCACTCACTCAATCACTCACACACTCACTCACTCACTCACTCACTGACTCACTCACTCACTCACTCACTCACTGACTCACTCACTCACACACTCACTCACTCACTGACTCACTCACTCACTCACTCACTCACTCACTCACTGACTCACACACTCACTCACTCACACACTCACTCACTCACTCACTCACTCACTCACTCACACACTCACTCACACACTCACTCACTCACTCACACACTCACTCACTCACTCACACACTCACACACTCACTGACTCACTCACACACTCACTCACTCACTCACTCACTCACACACTCACACACTCACTCACTCACTCAATCACTCACACACTCACACACTCACTCACTCACACACTCACACACTCACTCACACACTCACTCACTCACACACTCACACACTCACTCACTCACTCACTCACACACTCACACACTCACTCACTCACTCACACACTCACTCACTCACACACTCACTCACTGACTCACTCACTCACTCACACACTCACTCACTCACTCACTCACACACTCACTCACTCACTGACTCACTCACTCACTCACTCACACACTCACACACTCACTCACTCACTCACTGACTCACACACTCACTCACTCACTCACACACTCACTCACTCACTCACTCACTGACTCACTCACTCACTCACTCACTCACTGACTCACACACTCACTCACTCACTCACACACTCACACACTCACTCACTCACTCACTCAATCACTCACACACTCACTCACTGACTCACACACTCACTCACTCACTCACACACTCACTCACTCACTCACTGACTCACTCACTCACTCACTCACTCACTGACTCACACACTCACTCACTCACTCACTCACTCACTGACTCACTCACTCACTCAATCACTCACACACTCACACACTCACACACTCACTCACTCACTCACTCACACACTCACACACTCACTCACTCACTCACTCAATCACTCACACACTCACTCACACACTCACTCACTCACTCACTCACACACTCACTCACTCACTCACTCACTCACTCACTCACTGACTCACTCACTCACACACTCACACACTCACTCACTCACTCACTCACACACTCACACACTCACTCACTCACTCACTGACTCACTCACTCACTCACTCACTCACTCACTCACTCACTCACTGACTCACTCACTCACTCACACACTCACTCACTCACTGACTCACTCACTCACTCACACACTCACTGACTCACACACTCACTCACTCACACACTCACTCACTCACTCACTGACTCACTCACTCACACACTCACACACTCACTCACTCACTCACACACTCACTCACTCACTCACTCACTCACTCACTCACTCACTCACTGACTCACTCACTCACACACTCACTCACTCACTCACTGACTCACTCACTCACTCACACACTCACTGACTCACTCACTCACTCACTCACTCACTGACTCACACACTCACTCACTCACTCACACACTCACACACTCACTCACTCACTCACTCAATCACTCACACACTCACTCACACACTCACTCACTCACACACTCACTCACACACTCACTCACTCACTCACACACTCACACACTCACTCACTCACTCACACACTCACACACTCACTCACACACTCACTCACACACTCACACACTCACTCACACACTCACTCACTCACTCACTCACTCACACACTCACTCACTGACTCACTCACTCACTCACACACTCACTCACTCACTCACTCACACACTCACTCACTCACTGACTCACTCACTCACTCACTCACTCACTGACTCACTCACTCACTCACTCACTCACTCACACACTCACTCACTCACTCACACACTCACTCACACACTCACACACTCACTCACACACTCACACACTCACTCACTCACTCACTCACTCACACACTCACTCACTCACTCACACACTCACACACTCACTCACACACTCACTCACTCACTCACTCACTCACTCACTCACTCACACACTCACTCACTCACTCACTCACACACTCACACACTCACTCACACACTCACACACTCACTCACACACTCACACACTCACTCACTCACTCACTCACACACTCACTCACTCACTCACTCACTCACACACTCACACACTCACTCACACACTCACTCACTCACTCACTCAATCACTCACACACTCACACACTCACTCACTCACACACTCACACACTCACTCACACACTCACTCACTGACTCACTCACTCACACACTCACTCACTCACTCACTCACACACTCACTCACTCACTCACTCACTCACACACTCACACACTCACTCACACACTCACACACTCACTCACTCACTCACACACTCACACACTCACTCACACACTCACTCACTGACTCACTCACTCACACACTCACTCACTCACTCACTCACACACTCACTCACTCACTCACTCACACACTCACACACTCACTCACACACTCACACACTCACTCACTCACTCACTCAATCACTCACACACTCACACACTCACTCACTCACACACTCACACACTCACTCACACACTCACTCACTGACTCACACACTCACACACTCACTCACACACTCACTCACTCACTCACTCACTCACACACTCACTCACTCACTCACTCACTCACTCACACACTCACACACACACTCACACACTCACTCACTCACTCACTCACTCACACACTCACTCACTCACTCACTCACTCACACACTCACTCACTCACACACTCACACACTCACTCACACACTCACACACTCACACACTCACTCACTCACTCACTCAATCACTCACACACTCACACACTCACACACTCACACACTCACTCACACACTCACTCACTGACTCACTCACTCACACACTCACTCACTCACTCACTCACTCACTCACACACTCACACACTCACTCACACACTCACACACTCACTCACTCACTCACTCACTCACTCACTCACACACTCACTCACTCACTCACTCACACACTCACTCACTCACTCACACACTCACTCACTCACTCACTCACTCACTCACACACTCACACACACACTCACACACTCACTCACTCACTCACTCACTCACACACTCACTCACTCACTCACTCACTCACACACTCACTCACTCACACACTCACACACTCACTCACACACTCACACACTCACACACTCACTCACTCACTCACTCAATCACTCACACACTCACACACTCACACACTCACACACTCACTCACACACTCACTCACTGACTCACTCACTCACACACTCACTCACTCACTCACTCACTCACTCACACACTCACACACTCACTCACACACTCACACACTCACTCACTCACTCACTCACTCACACACTCACACACTCACTCACACACTCACTCACTCACTCACTCAATCACTCACACACTCACACACTCACTCACTCACACACTCACACACTCACTCACACACTCACTCACTGACTCACTCACTCACACACTCACTCACTCACTCACTCACACACTCACTCACTCACTCACTCACTCACACACTCACACACTCACTCACACACTCACACACTCACTCACTCACTCACACACTCACACACTCACTCACACACTCACTCACTGACTCACTCACTCACACACTCACTCACTCACTCACTCACACACTCACTCACTCACTCACTCACACACTCACACACTCACTCACACACTCACACACTCACTCACTCACTCACTCAATCACTCACACACTCACACACTCACTCACTCACACACTCACACACTCACTCACACACTCACTCACTGACTCACACACTCACACACTCACTCACACACTCACTCACTCACTCACTCACTCACACACTCACTCACTCACTCACTCACTCACTCACACACTCACACACACACTCACACACTCACTCACTCACTCACTCACTCACACACTCACTCACTCACTCACTCACTCACACACTCACTCACTCACACACTCACACACTCACTCACACACTCACACACTCACACACTCACTCACTCACTCACTCAATCACTCACACACTCACACACTCACACACTCACACACTCACTCACACACTCACTCACTGACTCACTCACTCACACACTCACTCACTCACTCACTCACTCACTCACACACTCACACACTCACTCACACACTCACACACTCACTCACTCACTCACTCACTCACTCACTCACACACTCACTCACTCACTCACTCACACACTCACTCACTCACTCACACACTCACTCACTCACTCACTCAATCACTCACACACTCACACACTCACTCACTCACTCACTCAATCACTCACACACTCACACACTCACTCACTCACACACTCACACACTCACTCACACACTCACTCACTGACTCACTCACTCACACACTCACTCACTCACTCACTCACTCACTCACTCACACACTCACACACTCACACACTCACACACTCACTCACTCACTCACTCACTCACTCACTCACACACTCACTCACTCACTCACTCACACACTCACTCAATTCAATTCAATTCAGAAAGCTTTATTGGCATGACAAAAAATACATTTTGTATTGCCAAAGCGTCAAAACAACATAGAAAATGATTTGGAACATTTAGTACACAAAATATTAAAACTGATATCATAAAACAATAATAATAAAATGAACAGATTAATAAATAAAATAAAATGGATTTAGAAATCATCTATATATATATATATATATATATATATATATACATAAAAAGAAAAATATTGAACATTATATACATGTGTGTAGGTCTTAGGCTGTGAGTGAGTGTGTGTTTAGTGTATGTTTGCTGGTTTCTGGTCGTCCCTCAGGATGTGGCAGGATGCTACAAATTTTGCAGCTATATTTGAGCATTTGGCTTCTTCGCCAAGAATGAAACAAAGTTTTTGGGTCGGATTACAGGTGTTAAATTGGGGAAATATATTATTAATTTTGGGGTAATAATGGTCTCTGATGTGTTTATATTTTGGGCATTCTGTGAGGAAGTGCAGCTCGGTCTCCGTCACTCACTGACTCACTCACTCACTCATTGACTCACTCACTCACTCACTCACACACTCACACACTCACTCACTCACACACTCACTCACTCACACACTCACACACTCACTCACTCACTCACACACTCACTCACTGACTGACTCACTCACTCACTCACACACTCACTCACACACTCACACACTCACTCACTCACTCACTCACTCACTCACTCACTCACACACTCACACACTCACTCACTCACTCACTCACTCACACACTCACTCACTCACTCACTCACACACTCACTCACTCACTCACACACTCACACACTCACTCACTCACTCACTCACTCACACACTCACTCACTCACTCACTCACACACTCACTCACTCACACACTCACACACTCACTCACACACTCACACACTCACACACCTCACACTACTCACTCACTCACACACTCACTGACTCACACACTCACTCACTCACACTCACTCACACACACTCTCACTCACTCACACACTCACTCCACACACTCACTCACTCACACACTCACTCACTCACTCACTCACTCACTCACTCACTCACTCACTCACTCACTTACACACTCACTCACTCACTCACTCACACACACACCCTATGTCAGCCTTATGCATTATGTTGGGTGTGTTGGGCAGGCCTCGAGTCCAGCGTGCACGGAGCTGGAGATGTGTGTGTTGGACTGGTTGTGTAAAGCACTCGGGTTGCCAGATCACTATTTACACCATCATCCACAGAGCAATGGAGGAGGAATACTGCAGGTACACAAACACACAACACAAGTCGTTCCTTGCACACTGAATATGAAGTTTTCGTGTGTGTGTGTGTGTGTTTTCGTATTCATCATTCGGTGACTTTGAATGGTCAAAACACTTCTTAAAACACTTGCTGTGGATGCGAAAATTGCAGAAAATCGAACGGCGATCCGAATATTTTTTATGAGAGACGAAAGTTTCGGAGGCAGTGTGTAAACATGATTGACACAACGTGAGGTCATATTTATTTTTTAACATGCAAAAATTTCGGACGAGAATTTCGGACTCCGTGTGCAAAGGCCTAAACACACAACCATCCCATAATGACCATTAATGAACCCTAACCAGACTCTGGATTGGAAGCCAGGCACATTTGCTAGCTAAAGGGAAAGTTCACCCAAAAATGAAAATCATACCATGATTTACTCGCCCTCCGTCAGTTCATCCTAACTTTCTTCTTTCAGACGAACACACTCAGAGTTATAGTAAAAAATGGCCCGGCTCTTCCAAGCTTTATAATGGCAGTGAATTGCTGTTTCTGTTCTGAAGTTCGTAAAAGTGCATCCTAACCGTATGGTGTGTGTGTGTGTGTGTGTGTGTGTGTAGAGTACGGTCAGTGAGTGTACGCTGGTCGCTCTGCTCGCCGCCAGGAAGGACCGGATCCTGCAGATGAAGAGTGACTTCACACACGCCGACACCGACGAATCCGTGCTGAACGCCAGACTCATCGCGTACGCCTCCGATCAGGTGATGAGGATGATGAAGATGATGATGAATGCTGGTGTGGGTTATAATGAGGAGGAGGAGGAGGATGATGATGATGAAGATCATGATGATGATGAGGATGAACGCTGGTGTGGGTTATGATGAGGATGATGATGATGATGATGATGATGAAGATCATGATGATGATGAATGCTGGTGTGTGTTGTAATGATGATTGATCTGTGTGTGTGAAGGCTCACTCGTCAGTGGAGAAGGCTGGTTTGATCGCTCTGCTGAAGATCAGGTTCCTGGAGACTGACGAGGCGTTTTCTCTGCGTGGAGAAACTCTTCAGCGCGCCGTCGAGGAGGACCGGAGGAGAGGCTTCATCCCTGTGATGGTGACGCAACACACACTGATATTTTACGTTTTGTTTTTTAGAATTTATTTCTTCATCGGAGTGGTGTGAAACTTGGTAAAGGTTTTGGCCCTTCTGTGTGAACACACAAACATAATGAACATTTCTGATCTGAACAGGTTCAATGGTCCTGAAACAACACTCACATGCGGAACACACTGCTGGAGATTTATGGCTTTGATTTTCTTAGATTTTTAGACATGTTTTGAAAATATATATTTCATATTAAAAAAATTGTGCATTTTTCATAACAATACACATACAATTCTGTTACTTTTAAGTTCACCTTTTAAAACTGTGTTCACTTCAGTAATCTGTCGAGTTCGAGAAGAGATCTTCAGTCTGTCACTCTAAAGCGCTCAAGATTCACCAGTTTAAGATGGAAATGTAATTTTCAGGTCTATGCTCAAAATGATTATAAATACAATGTAAATATAAAAATTCCACTAAAAATACAAATATTAAATACAAAATATTATCAATCTAAAATATAGTACATTGACTTCATAAACAAAAAAAAGAAAGAAAAGAAATGTGGTCCTATTTGACCGACACGCGAAGATGTCCAGCTGTTTAACGTGTGTAAGTGATGTGTGTGTGTGTGTGTGTGTTCTGCAGCTCTGTGCGACGCTCGGCTCCACCGGTGTGTGTTCCTTTGACCGTCTGGATGAGCTCGGCCCCGTGTGTAAGTCCCCATGACCCATGAAGCGTGTGTAACTGTGTGTGTGTGAGTGTGTCAGTGACGGTGTGTGTGTGCAGGTGCGCGCGAGGGTCTCTGGCTGCACGTGGACGCGGCGTACGCTGGATCTGCCCTCATCTGTCCTGAACTGCGCTATTTTCTCAGCGGGATCGAGTTTGCAGATTCTTTCGTCTTCAACCCGTCGAAGTGGATGATGGTTCATTTCGACTGTACAGCATTTTGGTGAGACACACATTAATGCCTCGTATATTTTCCTGATGGGAATTATAGACTGGACGGAGGATTTACACCTAATTTACAGAGGTCTGTTCTGCTCACCAAGGCTGCGTTTCACATTCTTACTGTAAAAATGTGAAATATTATTCCAGTGTAAACCTGCTGTTCTCTATGTGAATATACAGTACAGTGTAGTTTATTCCTGAAGGTTCAGCATCATCATTACTCCAGTCTTCAGAGTCACATGATCCTCCAGAAATCACTCTAATATGAGGATCTGATGATCAAGAATCACATTTATATTATTATCAGCGTTGAAAGCATTTTGCGCTGCTTAGAGTTTTTGTTTTTCAGGATTCTTTGATGAACAGAAAGTTCAAAAGAGCAGAATTTATTTGAAATAGAACATTATAAATGTCTTTACTGTCACTTTAAAGCAGTTGAATGTGTCTGTACTGAATAAAAGCATTAACGAATATTGTGAAGAGTGTGTGTGAAGCCTGTGTGTGTGTGTGTGTGTGAACTGCAGGGTGAAGAATAAGATGAAGCTTCAGCAGACGTTCACCGTTGACCCGCTTTACCTTCGACACGACAACTCGGACGCCACCGACTTCATGGTGCGCTCGCAACACACACTCATGATCAGTGTGTTCACCCGTGTGTTTACCCGTGTGTTTGCCCGTGTGTTTACCCGTGTGTTTACCCGTGTGTTTACCCGTGTTTACCCGTGTGTTTACCCGTGTGTTTACCCGTGTTTACCTGTGTGTTTACCCGTGTGTTTGTGTGTGTTTACCCGTGTGTTTACCTGTGTGTTTACCCGTGTGTTTACCCGTGTTTACCTGTGTGTTTACCCGTGTGTTTGTGTGTGTTTACCCGTGTGTTTACCTGTGTGTTTACCCGTGTGTTTGTGTGTGTTTACCCGTGTGTTTACCTGTGTGTTTACCCGTGTGTTTGTGTGTGTTTACCCGTGTGTTTGCCCGTGTGTTTACCCGTGTGTTTGTGTGTGTTCACCCGTGTGTTTGTGTGTGTTCAGCACTGGCAGATCTCTCTGAGTCGCCGCTTCCGCTCGCTGAAGCTGTGGTTCGTGATGCGCTGCTTCGGTCTGAAGAATCTGCAGGAACACATACGACACGTGAGACGCCGCATCATCACGCTCACACACACACTTCACACACTTAAACACTTCATGACTGAACACTCAGGGCCCTATCATACACACGGGCACACGAGTGTGTTGTTCTAGTTTAAGCCGGACGCAGTGCTCATTTCCTCATCCTGCGCCGTGTGCTTTAAGTAGAAAATGCATCTGCGGCCCATCAGCTGCTGGTCTGAGAGCGAGTGTGTGTTCAGGCGCATTGATGGACCCTTATTTAAAGAGTGCGTTAGTAATATGAGCCTATAGGCAGATCCACAATGCTCTACACTCTCCTTATCACACACACACAGGTTATTACACACACAGGGACACGCAACCACACACAAACATGCCAAATATTATCAATAAAGGAATTACAACATGAAAGATTATTGTGTATATAAAGATGTAGTGAATCCGGCTTGTTCTGCTGCTTTAACCTCACGCACACACACACACACACACACACACACACACACACACACACACACACACACACACAGCTTTAACCTCACGAACACACACACACACACACACACACACACAGCTTCAACCTCACGAACACACACACACACACAGCTTTAACCTCACACACGAGCAGATCTGCTATTGCTTCCTTGTAAATAGCGAATCCGCCATGCGAGCACAAATGGCTGATAAAGGGAATGGGAGATGAGACTCTGATTGGTTTATTATTAAATCACACGCATCACTCATTAGGAGAACAGGGACGGCCCTTTTAGAGCAGCGCCGTCGTTAAACACACACTTGAGCTGCCGTGAGCTTTAGATCCTTACAATAGGGCCTCAGTGTTCAACACATCCACTGATGTTCAAAGGGATTTACACTGAGGCTAAAGCTAGGAATGCTCATGAAATGTCAGTGATGATGTGTTTCCTGTGATGTCAGAGCGTGGAGATGGCGAAGCTGTTCGAGTCTCTGGTCCAAAACGACACAAACTTCCAGATCCCAGCGCAGCGGCACCTCGGCCTGGTCGTCTTCTGCCTACGAGTGAGAGAAACAGCAGATATCATCTAAATATGATAATTATGCTGCTTATTGATTATAGATCGGGTGTCTGATGAAAAGACGCCTGTGGTGGAACGAGACGGTGATGACGTTTCTCAGTGAGATCTCGTAGTATTTTTAAAACATGATGTTCCTCCTCAGTGTTTCTTGTTTTCCAGCAGAAATATCGAAACATTCTTAAATCAGGATTCATTTACTGGAGAAGCAGAGTGATCTCGTTTTCTGAGAAATTGAGTTTTTTTCAAAGTGTAATTTATTTTATCCAATGCAGACAAAATGCAGACAAACAGGTGAAACTCGGTGCAAAAGTCAGTTTATTTCAGTAATTCAACTTAAAAGGTGAAACTAATATATTATATAGCAACATGACATCATGACTTTTGCGTAAACATATACGCCACTTTCCCGCCAGGTGGCGTGTTATCTCTACGCATTTTGAGCTATCCGCGTGTATGCGTATATGTCTACGCCATTAACGTCCGCGTCATTCCGCGTGTCTGTACACGCAGTCAAATCTCCAGTCATAAATGCCATTAACCCCAGTGACGGTTAGGTTTAGGGACGGGGTTGAGGTAAGTCATATATTTATATAACGTTAAGTCAACGGCGTTCATAAACACGCTGAAAGGCGATTATGCGTCTTGATAGCACGCCAAAAAATGAAAATACGAATTGGCGTGTCATACACACGCTACTTCATGAGATCAGTCTGTAGATAGACTCATTACGTGCAAAGTGAGATATTTCAAGCTTTTATTTATAATTTTGATGGTTATGGCTTACAGATATGAAAACCTTTTCACAATATTCTCATTTTGAATTCCCATTTCAATCAAACAAATTTTTTTTAAGGCTATGGACAGTATATTTGGATTTCTTAGGTAATGAAAGCTTGAAATCCCTCAGAATTTTTTTCATCTTGTGTGTAAAGGCGTTGCACCTGGCTTTATCATATGCTCAGATCTATCTACCGAAAATATATGCAAAATTGTGCATAATGAGATAATGCCTAATTTGCATAATTAAACATACAAATTTCAAAAATGTATAATATATATTTTTGATATACTTGTGTAAGTTATCAACTGATGAAGTTTCATGGTGATATCTGTTATCTAAACCTATTCACCTGCAGTGCCTTGA